AAATGGTCATGTGCACTTGTTTATCTTGATGATATAATTGTTTATTCAACATCATTTGACGATCATTTATATCATCTCGAACTCGTTCTTCAACAAATTCAACAGAGTGGTTTAACACTTACAGTAAGCGCCATAAGTGGTCGCACCCTCTATCGCTGTATTATCAATGAATTTTGTTTTATTTTTTTGCTTTGTTTGAAAGTACTATTCACCCTTATCATCTGATATAAATAGCAATATTTGCCCTCTTTCTCGTATGAATTTATAGGCTAATGAAAAAATGAATATTTCTTTAAAAAAAACGATGGGAAATCGTCTTTTTATCAAGACACAACTATGGTCTACACATGTTGAATGCTGATATATCACAATATTTACATGTTAGTGAGTCAACCGTAAGATATTGGCTCGAAAGGTATGAAATAACTGGAGATGTAGAAGTTATACAAAAACCTGGTCGTAACCGATCAACCACTGAAAAACAAGACATGGTTATTCAATCGATGGTTGCTCAGCACCCTACCGAATCTACTGGTCAAATTGCAGCTAGATTATCGAATAAGGGTATAAATGTTAGTAAAACCACATTAAGAAGAAGATTTAAAGAAGCTGGTATACTGTCAATGAAACCAACTTCAAAGCCATTGCTGACCAGTGGTCATATTAAAAAAAAGATTTGAGTGGGCTACGGAACATAAAGATATGGACTGGAATCGAGTTGTTTTTACAGATGAGAGTTCTTTTCATATGAAACAAGTGATAAGACGTGTTTGGAAGAAACGTGGTGAACAATATTATGTTTCCACAATTAAGCATCCTGTCAAAGTGCATGTTTGGGGTTGTTTTAGTCAATATGGATTTGGTAAACTGGTATTATTTAAACATACATTGAACTCGAAGTTTATGTGTACAATATACAAGAATGGACTTCTACCATCAACAAAAAAATGGTTTGGTAACAATGCTTCTCATTGGAAACTGTTGGAGGACAATGATCCTAAACACACTTCCAAGATGTGTAAAAGATTTAAGGTCGACAATGGTATACAATCATTAGCGTGGCCATCACAATCTCCGGACTGCAATCCAATTGAAAATGTTTGGTCATTACTGAAGCTCAAAATAAACAAACAACCACGAACATCGACCAAGAACTTTATTAGGAGAATTAAAAAAGAATGGAAAAGTTTACCTATTGAATTTGCTGAAAAATTAGTCGCTTCGATGAAAAATCGAGTAGAGTTATTAATTGAAAGAAAAGGGGATTATATTAATTATTAAGATGATGTATCTATTATGCAAATTCTAGAAATAAAATATAGCGAAATAACTTCTTGATCTTCTACGTTTTTTTAGATCGTGCCCACTTATGGCGCTTACTGTAAAATTGATAAATATCACTTCTGTAAAACTCAACTTAAATATCTCGGTCATATCGTTTCGAAAGAAGGAATTCATCCTGATCCTGATAAATTAAATGCTGTACGTGAATATCCTGTACCAACAAAATAAAAAGCTGTTCGTACTTTTCTCGGTCTTTCAAGTTATTATCGTCGTTTCATTAAAAGTTATGCTACAATTGCTGAACCATTAATAGCACTTACACGTCATTCTGATTTGAAATCATTTCAA